ACACACACACACACACACACACACACAATCATCTTCACCCCAACACAAAGCATGAGAAAAGGAAAAGCAATAAGAAGAAACAATAATAAACTAAATATGATTCATAATCACCTTAGAATATAGCACTATCAGTCAGATACTGTAAAAGTTATGTTTAATATATATTTGGGAAATAAAGGATTGAAATATAGCAAGACTGTCAAAAACAATACAGGAGAAGACCTTCTAGAAATGAATACTATTATAACTGAAATAAAAAGCTCAAAGGATGGATTGATCAGCAGATTAGAGACTGGAAGATAGATGTAAATAAGTCGCCCTTAGTCGGGGGACAGAGGCAGCGGGTGCAAGAGGACAGGCAAGAGACGTGGGGCTGGGACAGGGTTGAGTATCCCCGACTCTGCAGTCACCGAGGAACAGCGGGAGCGGGGTGAGGAAGGCAGCGTGGGCAGGGACAACGACAGAGCCTGTAAGGTGCCAGCTGCAGAGCGGAGGAGCCCCAGCCCAGGCGGAGTGAGCAGAGAGAAATCCACAGCAGGAGGAGCAGATGGCAGCAGCAGAGACGGAGAGGTCCATGGACGGGGGAGAGGGGCACAGACAGCACCGGCCTTGGGCTGCTCGGTGGCTGCCCAGGGGCTGGGGACACAGCCGGCTGAGGACTCCCTGCTCCACGGACGCGTCTGTTCACAGGGATGTGCAGGGACTGCGGGGCAGTGTGGTGTACGTGAGGCTCTGGGTTCAATCCCTGGCATGACACACGCATGCACGCGCACGCACACACACACACACGCGCATACACACCGATGTTTTAAAACAAACACACACGTTTTAAAAAGTAAGGCTGAAATGTATTTTCAGACAAACAGCTGGACCTTCAATAGAAGAAACAAAGACATTCTAAAGCATATATTCCGAAAAAAAGAAAAGAAAATGATTTCAGAAGTTAAGGCAGAGACACAGCGAGAGGGCGAGAGAAGGCACTGGAAAGCTGTGTCCATGCAGCTCTGACCAAACGTCCTGCCTACACCGCACCGGGACCTGACAAAGGTCTGACAGCCACGGTTCCGGAAGCGTTAGAACAGAGACAGGCCGACCTGTCCTGGTACCAGCACCGAGAGCACCGCCCAGAGGAAGAGGTTACCTCAGTGCACGAAGTCACACAGTAAATCACGAGTTCGCTGTCCATGCGAAGACATCGTAAAAACCAGACAAAAACAGCTGAGAAAAAATGCTCTCTATAGATAAAAAGGGATCCACGTACAGGATCTGTTAGGAACTCCTACGGATCAGTAAAACTATCCAGAGAAAAGGGCTGCAACACAGACGGGGCAAAGGGACCCACGAACATCTGAAAAATGCAGAACTTCCTGCAGCAATCCGCACCAATAAATTCAAATTTAACTCATAAAGTGAGGCACAAATCTAAAACCCAGGGCAGGGCTCGGTGTCCATCGTACAGCTGACAACACGTGCGTCCTGGGACCACGGAGCCGCACTGCCCTGACTCACGGCGAGAGTCAGCGGCCTTCTGCTCCTGACTGCACACAGCGGCCCAGCAGCCACCGGAGGCCGTGGACAGGCTCACGGTGCCCACGCCTGCCCTCCGTCCAGCGGGACAGGAAGCAGACAGGACTGCGTGCACCGACACCACTGAATCTCTGGCAACGTTAGGGAACGCGAGCAAGGCTGTGAAATGTGACCCTACGCACACAAGGTTCCAACACAGGAAAACCAAATATGTACTGTTAGAAACAGGCACAGGCCAGGCGTGGGGGCGCACGCCTGTAATCCCAACACGGGAGGCTGAGGCAGGAGGATCGCTGTGAGTTCAAGGCCAGCTCAGTCTACTCTACATAGCAAGACCCTGCCTCAGAAAACAAAACAAAACAAAACAACAACAAAACATACAGAAGTTATCAATTGATCAATTTATAAAGAAGAACAAGAAAATAATCTGAAATTCAGGATTTAGTGTTAGGTGAGAGAGACAGTGGGGGTAGGCGAGGGGTGACGGGAATGGTGGGCGACCTTGGGTGTGCTAAGGTGACATGAAGCTATTTCCTAAATTAAGGAGGGGACGTGGGGTTTCATCTCACCCTTTAAGTTGTACAATGTCTTAAATACATCCTTAATATATATGATGCCTTTCATGGGAAAAAGGGCACACACTTTTGCTTCTTTCTATTATGGGGAACAGGCCATAGGCCAAGAGGAAGAGAATTCACATACAATGCGATTCTCTATCTTCTGATTCACTGTGTCCATCTGTCAGAGTGGTGCACTAAGGCAGGATTCAGCCAAGCATAGAAGCAGAGCTCAGACAGGGGCCAAATCCTACAAAAATCCATGTATGAGGTCTGATTTTAAAAAAAAAGGTGTTTTGGATTTTTTAAAAAAATGTTTTATTTATTTTTATTTGGTACCGGGGATTGAACTCCAGCCCTTGTGCTTGGGAGGCAGGCAGCAGAACCACTGAGCAAAATCCCCAGCTGGATTTTAAAAATTATTAAAGACACACTGATAGGGCCAGGGATTTCAGTGGTGCCACCGCCTGCCTCGCAAGCACAAGGACCCGAGTTCGATCCCTGGTACCAAAGAAAAAGAAGACGCACTGCCACGAATCGCCTCGGAAACTCTCCCTCGCTGTGACACACACACATCCCACCCTTCTGGCCACTTCCTGAGCCAGCTCCGGAGCATTCTGTCCTGAGGGTCTTTAGCTGCGCTGTCCTGGCTGCCTCTGTGTCCTGCGTGGATTCAAAACATCTCTCTTTCACGCTCATTCTGACTCTGGGGAGGAGTCAGAAGTCACTGGGTGCCAGAGCTGGTGAATAAGGTGGATGAGGACAAAGGGTCTCGTTTTATCAAAACCTTCATCATATTTTTGATCATACTTTAGAAGGATGCTCATGAAAAAGGACACCAGAGCTGCTTCAGAAAGTGGCAAGAACCGGGCTGGGGATTTGGCTCAGTGGTTCTGCCACCTGTCTCGCAAGCACAAGGTCCCGAGTTTGATCCCTGCTACCAAAAAGAAAGTGGCAAGGACACGGGATCAAACTTGGGACCCTGTGCTTGTGAGGCAGGCGGTGGAACCACTGGGCTAAACCCCCAGCCCTTGCCTATTTATTTCTAATTTAAATATTTACCACAGTTTTCTACCACCCCTTGTCACGTCACAGGCCACTCCTCTGCCTCACAAGTAAAACTCTGAAGCTACCAACCTCAGCTACATGAACAGAGGAGCCCTGAAGGCTGGACTCTGAGCGGCGCACACAGAATCACGTTCCAGAACCGATTACACAACACGGACGGACGCACCTCAGACCACTGAGGCTGATGATGACCACTAAGGTACTCGAGAAACAGGGTCCCTTTGCAACGTGTATTTACCTTGCTTCAGGCCACCATGCTGAGCTTACTCCTTTCGCACAGTAGTATAAACACTCACCTGTGCTTGACCATTTTTTGGTCATGGCAAAAATGACTGAAGAATCTCGCATAGAACAAGTGCATGACAGCGTGTTCCTTCCCGCCGATGTACAGATCCACGGGCATCCAGAAGTCTGCCATCGCAGGGTCGAAAGGCCTGGAACAAAGGGAAATGGGCGTTTTAAAAACGACTGTGCCACAGCTGCGTAAGTCAGGCAGACCTGCTGTGATTTGTACACGCTCCAAATGGGTTATGTCGGGGGAAAAGAAAAGCTTATGTAAAGGAGAAAGAAGTCAGACCAGTGTTAATTTATGCAATTTATATAAATGGCTATAGAAATTTATATAGATAGCTGACATATTCTAATAAGTGAAATTTCCATATAAAATGGGAACAGGAGAAAAACACACTAGCAAAACGGTATCTCGGGGGGCCGGGGATTTGGCTCAGTGGTGCCGCCACCTGCCTTGCAAGTACAAGGTCCCAAGTTCGAACCCCAGCACCAAAAAAAAAAAAAAAAGTATCTCGGTGTGAAGCATACTTGAAGATTGGACGTATTTTAACTTTCCTTGTGATCAGACAATGGGATATCTCAGTTCTTACCCATAGAGGGCAACGTGGCTCTCAGAAGAGACTAACAAGCACATGCTAAAATTCATTTTTTTGGTACCTGGGATCGAACTCAGGTCCTTGTGCTTGCGAGGCAGAGAGTGGAATCACTGAGCTAAATCCCCGGCCCCTAAAATTCATTTAAAACAAATTCAATCTTATGTCTCAAAGTCGCTTTAAAATAGTCAGCAAGAAGAGCCTGTGTGCACGGCTCCCCGGGTGCAAGGAAGTACTGAGGGCATCGCCGTCCTAAGACAGCCCAGTAGCTCTCACCTACGGGCGCCTCTCGGCCAACGCAGATGCTCCAAGGCAGGCTTCCTCGGACCCCCTGGGTCTAACGCACAGGGAGAGGAGAGGAAACTCCACTTCCCCAGCTTCTGGCCGGGCCCTCTGAGGAAGGGGGACGGCGTGGGTGGGACGGGCCCTGCACTGCCCAGGCTGCATCACGTGAGGTCGGCCATCTCGAAGTCCTTTGCCCGGGGAGGCTGTGAATTCTCTCTGCACCCAGCCCCCGCGCTCGTCCCCAGAGCCGGTCCTCAGCAGGTGAGGAAGCCCAGCCACTGTCTGGCTGTCGCTGGGCCCCTCTCCTCCAGTTACTATGCCAACATTCTTGTACATTTAAACAATAATTTTTGTGTGCGTGTGTGAAAATGGTTCCCTAAAGAAATGCACCTGCAGATCCAGGCAACGGTAAGGAAGTGAAGGATGGTATCTGTGTGGAACACGTCTGGGACAGATGAGGAGTGCGATGTTGGGAGTCGCTACAGCTAGGGTGGGTGATCTCCCTGAACCACGCCGGCAGGACAGGCCCAGGGCGGAGGCTCGGCGCTCACCACCGGTGGGCGGCTGTGGAGGTTCCCGGATGTCCCTGGAGCCAGCCTGGGCTGCGGGGCAGCAGTCACCCTTCGCATGGAGGCCGAGGAGCTGAGCCGGGCGAGCACCTGCCCCCTGGCCATCCTGGCCAGCTGGTTCCACACGGGCAGCACTGCATCCCTTCGGGAATGGAAGGCCATGGCGTCTCCCAGCATCCTTTGTGCCTGCACCGGGGACCACCGAGTCCACATTCAAATCGTGGAATCGCGGAACTCCAGGTCAGGATTCCGGCAGGGGAGGGCAGGAGCGCCCTTCTCACCAGAAGCATTATTTTGCTTTGTTTTGGTCAGAGAAACGCACACACACACACATCAAATGATACTTGAAAGATTTATCACAAAAACCAGAGGTGTTCAGCTCCAATATTCCCCTCCCCTAGAGCTGTCCCTTACCCACTGTGATTCTTTAGCAGTTTCTTCAGGCAACATTTAAAAGCTACGTTCGCATTCTTCATGGAGTCACCAACTCCGGAGCTACCTACGGACTGCACGACGAGGGCGGACACCGCTCAGCTCTCCCACCCCGCCTCCACACACATTTAAAAGCTACGTTCGCATTCCTCATGGACTCACCGACTCGGAGCTACCTACGGACTGCACGACGAGGGCGGACACCGCTCAGCTCTCCCACCCCGCCTCCACCCTCCCTGCAGGCACTGTCGTGTTTAGGTAAACAGGTAACACGCAGGACAACAACTGCACAATGCAGCGCCCAGTGTCAACCGAGAGACAACAGCATTTCTTCCTCTTCCTGTTTGTCTTCTACTGGGACTTCCCCGGCGGTGAATAACCTAACTTCATAATTTAGTATGCTCCCTTTAAGAGCCTGCTTTTCCTTTCTTTCGTTTTTTTGCTTTACTTCTGTAGTCCTGGGTTGAACCCAGGGCCTCACTCACAGGAGGGCAGGCGTCTGCTGCTGGCTGCACCTGTATCACCACAGCGGCACTGCTGCCTCGGGTCTGTGCAGGGCTCCTGTCAGGCTGGGCTGTGGCTGCTCTGGGACCCGGGGACCTGAGGGCCACTGGACTTGGACCACGTGAGCACCCACGGCCTGGCTGGAGCCCCACCTCTGCCCTCCTGTCCTCTGTATCCTGGCCTGTGGGCCCTCGCTCCGGTACCCTGCCCAGACATTTCTATTCAACCTGGGGCTCGCTCCTGGGGACCCCAGGTGACACACGCTGGGCGACCTCAGCAGGTGTTACCTGTGAGGGTTCCGGGGATCCGTGTACCGGAAGTAGTACCATGCGGAGTCAACAAAGGTGTCCATTGTGTCAGTCTCTCTCCTGGCTGCTCCCTTGCACCTAGGAAATAGGCAGAGTTCATGGATGGATTCTCTTTCCATTTTAGTGCAGATTCCCCCCAGCTTTTCAGAGAGCCGTGCTGAGTAGGAGTTTTAAATGTCATAAGAACAATGGTGCCTCACGAGGAGGTAATTCAGAGGAAGCTGGTGTTTTAACAAAATCGGCAACATAAAAATTTCAATCTTCTAAATTTGAAGCTTTTTTCTTCTACTTCTCTCAGTTTAACCTGGTAAAAAAATCTAACCACTCCAAAAGGCAAGACAGGGCTATGCCTTTTTTTTTTTGGTACACAGGATCAAACTCTGGACCATGTGCTTGTGAGGTGTTTGCGGGGCCACTGAGCCAAACGCCCAGCCCGAGGCTGTGTCTTTTACACGTGCACTTCCGGCCCATGGAGGCTGCCTCCAGCACTGCCAACTTTGGGGTGCTTTTAAACTAATCAGTGCATGGACAGAAACTGAAAAGCAGTGCAGTGAGATGTGCTGAAAAATGAACTTGGTTTTCTTTTTACTGCTCTAAGGTGAGAGATGCAGAAATCCCCCCGGGTGACCCAGAAGACAGGACCTCCAAAGCCTGCTCTGACCAGCTTGTGGGAATCCACTGTGCCCATCAGTCTCGACTCTGTGACGAGTAGCATCAAGTTACGCTTGAGATGAGCTCCGGTGGGAACGTGAACACCACAGAAACTGGCTAACGCTGTAAACCGCAAGCCCTGCAGGGAGCTGGGTGTTGTGTATTCTGAGAGCAGTGCTGCCGGACAGTGGGCTCTTTATTGAGGGCAAAGAAAACACACACACACACACACACACACACACACACACACACCCGGTCTTCAGGCCACACCAATCCTTAAGCTTACCCGAGGGATGTGGGTCAGAACCCGGCCCTGAGAGCCGCTCCTCCTGGGAAGGCCGCACACAGGAGGGTGCAGTCCCAGCCCCCAGCCCCCAGCCCCCAGTCCTGGATGGGCAGCGGGCCGCCCTCCTGTCCGGAGCCAGCTGTCGCCCGGTCCCTGTGCAACAGTGAGAGGCACAGCAGGGGCACCGGCCGCTCTGCAGGCTTAACTCAAGGGCTCAGAGCCCCAGATCGAGCGGGGATCTGGGACCCCCAGAACCTGCATTTGAGTCCTCCTGCTCTCCTGCTCAGCACAGGGTGGCCCTAGGGTCGGAGCTCTGGCCCCGCACGGCTGCTGAGCTCCAGTCCTCCTCTCCATAAGAGTCAGGCCTTTCTCTCCAGTGCAATCAGCCAGCGCACAGACACACACTATTTTGGGAAATAGCAACAAGAGAAAGGCAGCCATCTCTCCTCACCTAACTTGTGCACGGGTGAAAGCAGAACGCAAGGGAAGAAACACATGGTTCTTTATTGTGAAAGAAAACGCGGCTCCTGGCTGACACAGCGGCCCCTTGGAAGGGTCCCGTCGGGCCTGAAGACAGCTGTGTGTCTCAGTGTGGACACTGGAGACTGGGCAACAGCAAGAGGCTGCAGGAACGGGCACGGGGAGGACGTGAGCAGCACTGGCTCCGACACGGGGAGCGGGCGAGTCCAGGACTTGGGACCCCCCCCCCCCGGGGCGCGGGCCACGCCCCCCCCCACCCCCCCAACAGAGCGGGTAAGAGGCCACTGAGGCCTCAGGAAATCCACCAGGACAACCACTGTGGAAATCAGTATGGAGATTCCTGAGGAAACTAAAAGGAGAAGGTCCATTCAGCCCAGCTGTCCCCCTCTGGGGTGCCTTCCTGAAAAGGTTAAAGACATCGTATTACAGTTCATAATCACTAAATCTTGGAAGAGACGGTCATTTATACCACATCTGGAGTACTATTCTGCCATAAACAAGGAGAAAATGTAAGACAATTTGTGAGAAAATGGATACACCCTGAGACCATTATGTTAAGCGCAATGAATCAGACACACAAGCTGAAGTATGGAAAGGTGCGCTCGGTACGGAGAGGAAGAATCCAGAGCCCGCAGGCTGCTGGGCCAGCTCCTTACCTCGGACATGCGCAGTTCACCCACTCGGAGGCAGCGGCCAGCGGGGAGCCGCCCTTGCCGGTGAAGGCCGTGAGGCTGGGCAAGGTCACGGGCAGGTCCTCCAGGGGCACGGGCACGGGGCC